TTTTTGGAACACTTTGTACGCGTATACTAGGGACACCGGACTGCGACGCCCCCAAAAATCTGGCGCCCCCGGGCGGGTGCCCCCCTCCCCCAACGCCGGCCCTGCATCTAGCGTATCGGTGAGTCACCAACACTGCTATGAAAATTTCATCGTCGATGTCGGTAGCGGTCGGTTTCCGTCGTTACTCGTCGTCATTTGAAGTCCGCGAACATTTAAATTGTTGAAGTAACAACACGTGGTTAGGGTGGATCAGCGTGATTTTTGTTACCTTGCAGTGTTTTAATTGTAATTTTGTGTGTTTACGTGGTGTTATGGCGCCTAAAAGATGCAGAGTGAGAGGATGTACCTCACAGGGAAAGCAGGTTTGACAATTTTTCGATATGATAAAAGATAGAGAAGACTTTGTATATAAGTACTTAATGATGGTGTATCATCTTCTAATTTATCTTTTTCGTCACAAGGGATATTATTCTACCCCACGCTCTTGTTGCCACCTACAAGTTTAAAGTAAAATTTAATTTCAACTAAAGATAGACTTTTGAATAAAGAAAAAAGATGTTAAAATGTTAATAAGTATGCATTACCATTGTAAATTTGTGTCCTTGTATTTCATTTCTCGTAGCTGTTTCTTGTAGGCCACTAACGATGCCAAGTAAAAATAACACAATAACATCGGCTATTTGATCTTGTAAAATATCTGATCTATCTGCTTCATCATCCACTTGGTATAAAGCCATCACTGACTCTACCGCATTCAATCTAAAAATTGCACATATCTAAATTTCTTAATTCATCAGTATGGTAGAATTTAACCCCATGTTATATTTGCATAAGGGAACGTAATTTTTCAGTTCTGCCTATTGTAAAAGGCAATAATATTCCTTCGCTTATCTTTGAGACATTTTCTCTGGCATATAATAATTCTGTAACTTCCATAAAATAAGAGTACATCGTTGCACGACAGTACTGCTTCTTTTAATTCTTCATGATCTGTAAACTCTATGAACCTATGAAAATCATATTTGTTGGGTTCGGTCATAAATTTGTATCAACAAAGGATAGTTTATTGAAATATTCTGTGCCTGATATATTTGCTCTTGATATGATAACCTATGTTGTTTTTGTCAGTTCTACTTTTGTACCTTTGCCATAAGATTGCAAACACATAAAGAAACATATTGTTTAAAGTAAAATAAAAACTTGACAATAGTTGGACTGTAGTAACAAATGTAAGGTTATGTGAATTTAATATTTCTTTAGAAAGAAAGGTACCAAGTAATTACCTCAAACTTTCATATGGTAAATGTGTAATTAAAGGAAACAAATCTTGAACAACTTTATTTATCATTTTTGTTAGGACAATATCAACATTTTGTGTAGCATCAACATTTGAATTTTTCATCAAAGAATCGCAAAGTGGCTTTAACACAGTAAATGCTTGCTATATGTGATAACATTCCATTTTTGTGTAGCAGAGAAAATATATGAAACAATTACAGTTCTTAGACTTAAACAATGTGCATTGATGTGCATTCTATAATTTTATATTTGAAAACATTGAACATATGAGCTTCAAGTTCATTTTACGGAACATTAATTACAGAAAGCATTACAGAGTTTGAGAATCTCAGATTTGATATGATAGATATATAATAATTTGTATTGTTTACAATATAAATATTTCAGTTCATGACATATGTTTATTCATTAATTTTACTGATCATGTTCTGCAACCTGATTTATTGACAGCATGTAAAAGCAAATATTTATGAACCCTAACTCTGATAAACATATTACACCAATGCTTTAATTTAATAATCTTGTCTCTACTGTTTTACAATTAATAAATGTAATAACATTAGTCGTATTGTTCAAAAATTAGGATATTCATACTACATACATTGCTCGATCACGTCATATCAACCTAAAGTGACCTAAACCATTGAATCTTTAATCTAACTTAATTAATGTAATTTAGATAAATGTCCTGTGAGATAAATGATCTGTATTATAATAGATACATAATTTAGATTAGAAAAGAGTTAATAAAGTTGTCCTAATAAGTGATGCATCAGTTTTATGTGTATATAGATACATCAAAGAATAACTGATTGGAAATCGATTGTAAACATCTAACGAAGTTAGTAAGGTTAATAAATTTTAACAAATTTCTCCCTTGCTGTTACATCAACGAAAGGAAAAAATCTCGGGAATTTCGTATAGACAAGGGTAATAATATATATCTACATATATCTACATATATCATACATATCAATATTTCCATTTTCCAATTTCAATTTCCGTTCAAAAAGACACCGCATGATATTGAAAAGTGACAACCAATTACGTTTAACGTTTCTTTGGAACTTTTAAATATTGAAATTTCATTGGCCAAGTACCCACAACCCAATGCGCAGAAGAACGACGCCGAGAACGAGCCGTCCTTCGTTCGGCGGCAATTGGAGAGAGCAGACGTGTTGTGTCGATCGGTGATCCGCAAATTAATAGGTACGCATAATTCAATTCAATTAACATTTAATCGTTGCTATTTATACCTTGGGTTATTGCTTATCATCTCTTTAATATATCATTTATACCATTGCTTGTTATTGAATCGGTTTTTTGAGAAAATTAGATCGATTTCGTACTTTCGTCATTTTCGTTCTCCATGAGGTACCAATTGATATACACTCGAATATCAATTCGTACTATGGGAGTACATCTTCCAGAGTAGTATTATCGTTGTGAAATCGGCCCTATTTTCGTTTTTCTAATTAATTTGTTACTTGGATACTGTAAAAACATATATTTATCGTAACCTGACTTCTAATTCGAATTCTTGAATGTTCCAGGATCTGACGCCATGAGTCTGCGTGATGTTCGCCAACCGGCATTTCACGTTCAAATGGCTACTTTACGTTGGAAATTTCGATCGAAATTTGTGGACATCAGAACGCCAGAAAAATTGTGCAGCTTACCGGAGAAAGCAGAATAATAGGTAATACTGTCTTTAATTAATGTCATTAATAGATTACATTGATTATCAAATATAAATTTACAGTTTTTTATTCATTCTTTGAAAAATAATGATTTTAATCGTTTTGACCATCTTGTCCATAAAGAAATAATATTTATGTATTAATTACAATTGCAATTCAAATAACGTAAATTCAAACTTTATTAGCTCATTATGAATACGGAATAAAATTGTACAAATTTGCAGAATTATACAATTTATATCTCCTTAACAAAAGCATCTAAATATTGAAAAAATGTTTAAGATTTCATCTTTTATGTATCCAACATATTTATAGTGACTTATAAATATGTGTATCATGAAACATAAAAGGTAAAATCTTAAACATTCTTTCAATAATTACATTTTTTTGTTAGACACAATTTGTATAATTTTGCAAAGTTACAATTTTTTTTTACATTAATTATAAATTGATAAATCTTATGAGTCGAAGCACTTTTACTATGCTACGCTATATTTTCTAGAAACTGTGAATATTTATGACAATACGCATTTTTAAAATTCATAATAAATATGTTAGAAACATATCAGATAGAAACTTAAACATTCTTTCAACTATTACATACCTCTGTTGTACACATATAAAACGTAAGATTTTGCAAATTTAGACAGTTTCTTCCTACATTCATTATAAACTAATAAATTTTGTGAGTTTATGCACATTAACTTTATTACATTACACCTTTTAGAAACTTGAAATATTGATGAAGTTACACATTTTCCTAATAAATTTTAAATATGTTAGAAACATAAAAGATCAAAGTTAAACATTTTTTTAATATTCGCGTATCTTTATTGTACAAACGTAAAATGTATGATTTTGCAATTTTAATGTTTTAATATTGCAACTGATGTAACTTTTGAAACATATTATTAATTCATGTAACTTTTGTTGCAGATTTTATACATCATTTAACTAAAGTACTTCGAAGTTTGATGCAGGAAAAGCAGAGCAACTCCGAAGTTCGACGTGGGTAATGCAGAGCTACTCCGATGATCAGCGACAGCAGAGCCATTCCGATTTCCACGTGGGTAATGCAGAGCTGCTCTGATGATCAGCAACATCAGAGCTACTCCAATTTCGACGTGGGTAATGCAGAGCTACTCCGAAGATCAGCGACAGCAGTTGGTGAATCGCTTGCTATAAATCTTAAATTCCGACCATCGATGTATTAACTCTTTGCACTCGAGGCCTTTTTTTCTGATATCTACCAGCAACTCGAGATGTTTCTTGGCATTCTATTGCCATGAATTCTAAGCTATCTAGTTTTAAGAACAAAGAAACATTAGGTATTGTAGATTTGCTGCGTGAAACCTAATGGCGACTGAGAGTCACCTCTCCAGTGCAAAGGGTTAATACGAATAAATATTCGCGTCGCTAGCTTTGTCTATGTATATTAAAAACTCTCTTACGTTTCTACAGAAACTACAGAACGTTCCTCTAGGAGGTAGCGTCACCTGCTTCGGATAACACTGACCTACGGTACACAAATCGAACGATTCTCCTTCTCGCAGGCGAAATAATCGATCGCGGTGTTTACAGTACTCTGTCCATGGAAGAAAACGCCGAGACGATACAATTCTGTCCCGAAAAGCGTAATTTCGTTGCGTCGCGCGTGCGCGCTGTGCCAAAATCAAGGCTGTCCCTAGAGTACCTATCTCCCTACTTTCATTTCAACCTACATATAACGTAGTTGAAAACCGAACGAACAAAATAATTTACCTGAAATTCTTACCTATTTTAGTGTTATTATGGCTAGCATATTTCCTGTACCTATAGCGCCGTGTCGGAATCGAAGGTTTGGCGAATCGTTTCGCGAGAACGCCGGGAGGCGACGCGTCGATCGTATCGTTGAAGAGGGGTGTAGTTTTTTTCGGGGTGGCGTGGAGGGGGTGTCGAAGGGGCGGGTATGGCCCGTGGTTGTCACGACGGAGCCGTATCAGTGTGAGGCCGGCTATCAGCCGCCTAACATCGAGGTTGGGGTTACGCTTGCACACGTAACACGACTGCCGCAGGCACCCACACGTACACATTTCTCTCTCTCTCTCTCGCACACACACACAACACACACACCCACACGAAAACACACTCGCGACAGCCCGTGGACGGATTCTCGCGGAATTCTAACGTCGTGGCCAAGAACGAGCGGAGGGATCTTGCGAACTGTTCACGCGGGGGATCCTTTCTGGCCGACAACGGGTGGGCAGCCCTTTCTCCATGCAGTATGCGTCGTAATCGATAAGGACGAGAGAGCGGGGCGCGTGTATGGGATCGTCTTAACTCTTTGCGGCACGAGAATTTTATTAGTTTCGAGACCCTCCGCACACGGGGAGGCTCGAGCGAGACAAAAGTGGTGAAACACGATGAAAATGCGTTACTCCTGCAAGGTGGTGGAAACGTGCGGGCCGAGCCGTTGGTAGCGAGTGGCCACCGATGCCAACCACTGTGCTCGAGTGGACATTTTCTAGATGGTCACCCGTGCTGCGAAGAGTTAGAGGAAACGTCGCGCCCTTCGAGTATGTGTCGAAATGAATGAAAGCGACGGGAGATTCTGAGAGAGCGAGAGAGGGGAAGAGTGAACACGAGCATTTTTGGCGAGGTGAGAGAGAGCGAGAGAGAGAGAGAGAGAGAGAGAGGGACAAGAACGTAAGGAATTCGTGCGTGTCGATGCTGAAAAGAGGGGAAAAAGCTCGCGAACTAGAGAGCGACCGAGGAAAGAGGATCGCGCGCGCGTGTGTGCCTGGCGAAAGAACAATAAAGAAAAAGGATGCTCGAAGGGACGCTTCGTAACTTGTTTCTCGTTTGAAAGTCGCAGGAACGGCCACGAAACGAGCACACAGGTCTAAGGAAAGAGTGGAGGACGGGCACAGTGAGTGGAATCGACAGGACGAAGGGGCTAGGTGTCGTCGCGGGTAAGGAAATCTCGGGACGCTGTTCACGTCTCGGGATACATTGGCGGTGAGTGCGGTATCGAGAGTAATTAAGCAGTCACGGGATTACTCGGTAATAATGGCTGGTCGTGATTGACCGAGAAAGAGAGACCGAGGGAGAGTGTGCGCGGCCGTGTACGCTGGCTACATCTACCTAAGCAGCGAAGAAGACGGGAACACCGGAAGCAAGAAAGAGAGAGCGGGATAAACGGCGGGATCGCAATCGAAGAAAATCAGATGTCCTCAGCGACCGTCTCCGGATCGGATATGTCGTTAGCGACGGAGGGATCGAGCGCAACCTCTCGAACGCAGTGGCGTAACTAGGTCTGTGCACAATTCCAAGAGCCACCCCCGATATCGGTTCATTTATGATTATTTCCTTTAACTACGCTCCTGAATTTCATTTAATTCGATAAACTGTAAGTAACTTAAAAGTACTTGGTTTCTTCCAAAAGTCGCCAGTTACGTCATCGCTCGAACGAATCGAGCGGTCGATCGAGATTTCACCGTCCATGGATCGCTAGGAAGCGTGGCGACGAGAAACAGACCGATGACTTTCGATCGATTCGAGTACAATTGCACCGCAGCCTGCCATGCCGTGGAACTGTCGTCGTAGACCAGTGGCTAGGTCCAGTGACGACGATACTTAATCGACGATGTGCCATTTTCGATAGGCGAAACGAACGGTTACGACATCTGGTATCTTAAACGATGCTCGGTAGTCCATCGAAGAAGGGAGACAGAGAACATTGGCGATCAGTGAGGCGCGAAAGAGAGAAGGGGTTGCGAGATGGCACCTGGTTACTCGCGCGTGGCCCAGCCGAACTTGGAGGATCGCAGGAAGCAACGCGATACGAAGGACGCGAAAGTAAATAATCGTTGTCCGCGACCGTTTCGATTCTGAGCGGCCTGGACGTTTATCCATGCTGTCGCGTACGCATCGATGGTCGATAGCAAAACTCCTTCCAGCCAGAACAGAATCCCCTGGTGTTCTTTTTGTCGCGGGTTCTCGCGTCGAATACGCGAGACTTGTCGCGCCGGGCTCGACGAACGCGCAATCCGTCCCAGAACGTTACGATAACCAGCTAGAGGGCATATGGACCGCTGATTCCGTAGCCTTTCGATCAACAAACATCCTACCGCGAGCAAACACGACGTTCGACGAAACGTTGAACGCCAGGAGACGAATCGACGACTATTCTCGATCGTACCAATCGTGTGCGGTCGTCGGGAAAGAGTGAGAAAGGGGTGGGGGGCGACACGGAAGGGGTACGCGAGGCAGTGTGATCGTTTCGAGTCGAGCAACAGCAGCACATGCTACGGGAGATCCGTATCAATTCGCGACTGTGATTTTCTAAGCTTAAGGTTTAAACGTTTATTAACAAGAGGAGGGAACGAAGGATACCAGGCGGAAGAGGAGAGTCGGACGCCAAAGGAAGATTAAAACAAATCGTCCCATTGTGATACTAAGATATATTAATCGAAGATATTAAGGTGAACACGTGCGCTCAAGGAGATGGGTGTGAATGAAAGGGGGCGCGACACGCAGTGCCAGGATGAAATGCGAGTGTAATTAATGGAAATGATGGTCGATCGCGGGGTGTGCGTCGGATCTACAAACTGTGATACACCGATAACCACATTACGGAGAGGCTGATATTCGTTCACTGACCGTCGAATTCGTGTACATCAAAATCCAGAGGAACCGTGGGGGATGTATCGGCGATCGGGAATTGCGTTCGCAACCGCCTCGTGATACGTTCGCAGGTACGTTGCTTCGATTCCTCTTGAATTTTATATTTTTCGTGTACGTAAGAATTATTCGACGATCACAGACGACGAGCGAAATTCACGACTAAATAAATATTTTATTTCGAATGAAATTCTTCTCGCCTTTGTCGCCGATCGATCTTTTTTTCTGAGAATGTTCTTACTTAACCTTTCGCGCCGAAGCGACGAAATTAACTAGAAAATGTAGCGGAACGCGTGGCGACTATCACCTAGGGAGTTTAATCTTTCCATAGACGGATTGCTTCGTTTCAAATAAATACAAATTCAAATTTATATTATTCATGACATGTGGGAATTTCGTCACGATGTTGTCGTGTCGCATGTTATTGGAAAATGTAACTGTGCCGGTGTCCTCCAAGAAGTTACAGTAACGTAGCCTTTATTTTAGCAAAAAAATCGAAACGAAGAGGGGGACAGATTTATCCTCCTTTTCTGTTCTCGATATTTACGAATATCGTTACAAAATACAAGTACTCGTAATGCAGTTAGCTATGTTCGTCGAGTACCCGGAAAATTAATCAACGATTTCTGTTTTCCGTTCAGACGTTTACACTCGATAAAGTGACGCCATGTTTTTTCCCCGCGTGCTGCACAATTCAAACGAATGTTTATTCAAACCGACATTATCATACTTGGCGATACAATAAAATTTATCTCGTTTAAATAAATTATATTAGTTTTGTTCGTCGCGGGGATCGAAAAAGAATATTTAGGAAATTATTTTATGTTTCGCCGCCCGAGACAGTTTATTACTCGATTATTCGATATTTGAACGACCTCGACTTTGTTCCCACGTTATCATTGCAAATGAGTTCGGACAGCGGAAAATGTCTAACGAAACACCCTAACGCATTCGATGAACGATAAAAAGTACGCGTACAGGTTGGTCGTCACGAGGAAATCACGCGAAACTCGCGCCGCATGAAACCGACTGAATAAACGCGGTCTTTTAGAAACAAAAAATTGATTCAAACGGATAAAAAGAGATGTACACGCGACGCAGGGGCGAAAAAAGAAAATCACGAGCTCCCGTTCAAATTCGTTCGACCTTTTATTTCTTTTCAAATTTTTAACTTGTACGTCGAAATTACATGTACGACCTATCCTTTTTCTTTGTTTGGAACTGTATGCGACATTTGTAACAGAACTTTCAATTCACCCTGCGTATCGAACAACTTTAACCCTCTTACCATCGAGCCATTTTAGTCTGTGCTTTCGAAACCCGACAAAATAGCGAATTCGGTGTTTGTTCGGCGCAATAGTCGGGAAAAGCTGCGAAATTGCGTCGAAACTTGTTTATGTTAAAATCGTAAATAACCTACTTCCCATGCAAACATGTAGTTGCTATTATTTGCGATAACGTAAAAATAAATTGCACTTAAAGATCTAGAATTAAGTCAAAATTCGTATGTAAATATTCTGCACGCACGTAATTTTGACATGTATCTCGTCGCGTGAATTATTTATAGACAGTTAAAAAATAACGCGAAATAAAGGAAAGTGGGTTGCGTACAGGGCGATTATAGAAACTGGGACAGGCTGTATCTCATTTCCAAGTAATGGTACAAAAAATTGTTGCAAAAAAGAGTTGGATCCAGCAATGGGTTATATATATTTTAATGATCTAATTTTTTGCCTTAGGCTAAGTGCGATACATACTTACACCGTTTTTTTTTTTTTGTTAATAGAATCGTGCCCGTTATTTTTACACAAAATGATTCTTTTCATCGTCCGACGTATAAAAGAATCAAGTTATGGCCATTGAAAACGTAATAGTTCGCGAGATATGCCATACTTTACGCCAGGAAATTACTTCTTCCCACGGCAGCTGTTCAAACGTTTCACCATGAACATTTTATTGCAAGCTTTACCACAGTTTTCGCTGCATCTTTAAGTTGCGCAGCGGTTATGCCCGCGCAATTAGTCTTCATTTGAATTTGAATTGAATTGATTCGAATCAAAAGCCTGCGAGTGTATTTCATCTGTCGCTTAAACCTTCAAAAGATGGTGCTCTATTCAAGAATCAACCCCAAGTGCTCTACTTCGTTGAAGAGCTACTGTCCCAATTTCTAGAGTCACCCTGTATACAAAGTAGAACAATTAACGGATAGTCCGTTGCTTCGAAGAAAGATAGTTAGAAAGCGAGCCGGGTCCGAAGCAGCTCCGGGCGATGTCTCCATGCCTACAAGTTTAATATTCATCCCCTAGAGACCAAAATAAAACATAGAGAAACCAGAACTTCCAAAAGTCCAAACGTGATCTAACATTCCATCAATTGTTTGCAGTGACCAGCGACTCGTGATAATCGCCCAAGGAAGAACCAGCGATAGAAGCTTCCTGGCGGCAGTTCCCCGAAGCAAGCGCGGCCATCGACGATCGCAGCGCCACCGTGGGACCCTAAAGAAGGCCTAGGCGGGAATCCCGACGCGTTGTCGCAGCGCAGACGCGAGCACAGGCGGCGAGAGGCGAGAGAGCGTGACACAGCGTCGCCGAAGCGGTCACCAGGCATCGTGTACCACCCCCTGGCCACGGGGGGTGGGACAGAAAGACCGTCAGCGTGGGTGCCGGTGCTGCAGGGGCGCGCCTGGTCCGTCGGCTCGCCCGAAGATTAGCACGCCGGCTAGCGGCTGGCTCGGGCCCGTTTCGCCGTAACGGCCTGGCGACTTCGGGGGGCCTCACGTCGGCGGCGGTGGTCGTGGCCGCCACGGGGGAGCAGTCCGCTCCCCCAGCAGCTGCGCCACGCCATACCACGCCGAACGGAAGCGTCAGCGGATCCACATCCGGCTCAGGTCGCAAGAACAGAGCCATGTCCATGAGGAGTCTTCATCGCCGCGTCTCTCACCCGTAAGTCACCACTTTCTGACCCTAGCGCAGTCACGGATGGGATCGAGATTGTTCCTTACCTTAGCGGAGGGTTGGCTTTGTCGAAAGGCGGGCTGTTCTTGGCCGTAAGAAAGGGAATAGCGAAGTTGAACGAGGAGTAGAGGTCTGGTAGAACCCTCTGAAGCGTTCGATAGGGTTAGGTCTGGGTCTGAGAAAGTTCTTACTTGATGAAATTAAGTAGGAAATGTAAAGGAACGCACGGCGACTATTATCTGTGGAGTTTAATCCGTTTTTACGCGAATTACTTCGTTCGAAATAAATTAGAGGAAAGGAGTAGAGGTCTGGTAGATGCCTCCGAAGGGGTTGCTAGGAAGGTTATCTGCAAGTTTAAACTGGGGAAGCTCCCATAACTCTTTCCTGTCCACTGTAACAATCTGACAAAAGTGATAGGTTCTATGTTTACGTGCAATGATACAGACGTAATCGTTCCGTACGTTTAGCACTTCTAAATTGAAAGTTCACGCACATACCGAGTGTATATTGTCTTTATTCGTATCTGGTGGTTTGTAACTGCTCTCCACGGAGCTATAAATTGTCTGTAGTACTCAGAACACTTCCACGTTTTGGTTACTCGAATACCAAGTCTACTATGAAAGATTTGTAGCAATCACCAGATTGTAACATATACCAGAACTCATAGTTAGCAAGTAAAGAAATATGAAAAGACTACCACGAAACATGTTTCTTTCAAACTGGCAAGCGAACAGTGATGGAACAGTAAATACATAAAACGTACTTAAAATGGAATTAAAGTGTACCATACTCGTGTAGGTTACGTTAATCTCCACAACTCTCGTAGAAAATGATATTAAAAATAATGCACCCATTGGAAGTTATAACGAGACACAGTAGTGCGTCTGACCGCAGCCCGAGCGCTATCACTTGCCGCTTCCCGTTGGGCGCGTCCGACCACTGGCAGACCGTTTCCACTCGCTGCTCGCGTTACGGTAGCGCGAGTCGGTCATCCTTTCTCCTATCTCGCTGCAATTTCTTAAAACTTCATTATTTCGAAAACTGTTTGAAGTAAATGTTGTTCAGGATGGTAACAAATTCGTAGATATGTATGAATTTATCGCGTCCATATACATACACAGTCGGTGTAATAAATATTCGTGCAGGAACCATTTATTTTAAATTGGTTGCTGTATGTCCGACTCTAGTATGTCTGACTCCTGGCAGACCGTTTTCACTTACCGCATTATACATTTCGTCCGGTGTGTTCCACGAGTGAGAGTCTATCGTATTATGATTTCGAATTCGTCTATCATTTTGGAAACTGCTTCGAGCGAAAGTTGTTCGGAATGATAATCTATACTAGTAATAAATTACAAAAAGGTAAACTTTGTATGCAGGGAGCTATCTCTGGAACTACCGAATAGATCCTAAAAATTTGTTCCGTAACAGAGAGGTTCTCCCATGGTAACATAGCAGTAGTATATAAATGAAATAAGACGAGGAAGTCTGACTATTTCTAAACTCTTTTAATACAAAATTCGAATCTATATAGTTGTTTAGTAGAAAATTTGAAACGGTGGTGGATATTTGTGAGCCGTCGACGATATCCACGATATTCTCGATCCCATCCTCTGACCGCTGACGCCTAGCAGCACCGCTCGAGCCTTTGACGCGCGCGGGAATTGATTATTAGAGCTCAAAGCCAGAAATGGAGCCCGGAACTTGAACTCAAAGTTTCATTTCGGTCGTCTGCGTCGTCTATTTTTCACGGGCTTGTATCGAAACGGGGGTGCGTTTATAAATACCGCTATCGACCATCGCGCTCTTCCAATCGTCGGGGTAAAAATATTAGGGGCGTGACGGTGGTTGTCTAACCAAACTATTTAGGAAACCGCGATGAACGTCGAATCCGCGAACCTCGAAGGCTCGGACGTTTTTATTAGTCGAGAGAACTCGATCGAACTCGTCGATCCAGAGATCCGTGGACATGGTCGCCACGTGCATGAACTAGATACGCTTTGTTCTGACTCGCAGGTCTGCAGAACTTCGATCTAGGATAATCACGATCGTTGCCAAGATTTCACGCATTCTCATTGGGTTGAACCTAGAAATTCTTGGTGAAAATAATTTGGTAGTTGTTGTTATAGGATAGGATAATTCTACCATATTGGTCACGTTTATACAGGGTGTCCCAGAATTAGTGTAAGAACCGGTAGCTGAGATCGATTCTGAACCATAGTTTCCTTTACGAAAATGTCGGATGGTGCTTCGTTTTTGAATTATTAACGAAAAATCACGGACCAATCACAGCATCCGAGTAGCGGGTGCTCAGGTCGCGATGGGCGTGGCCAGTCAATCTTAGCTGAAGCCTATGCTATCGCGACTGAGCGCGTGTTACTCGAACGCTGTGATTTGTCCGTGATTTTTCGTTAATAACTCAAAAACGAAGCATCATGCGACATTTTTGCACAGGAAATTTTTGTTCAGAATCGTCTCAGCTACCCCTCCATTTCCGGTTCTTACACCAATTCTGGAATTTGCACACTCTATAGTGCAATAAATAATTTTACTTTTCTCTAGCTAGCAAATATTTGCGATAATAACAAAACGAGGATTCGTCCGTCCGACCCAGCAAGATCTTTCATCTCGCATCATCGTAAGCTGAACCATTGGGTCAGTCCGTCGACAGTGTCCTACTATTATTCTCGCTAGCGTAGAGTTTTGTCGCGATCGGCATTCTCTGACCAACAAAAACACACTTTGTTTCCCCCGGCGAGTTTAATACTCGATTTATGAGCGAGGCCCGAATGCCGCCGTTTTTAATGAATACCGCGTCGGATTAAATGCTCACTTTTCACGGTCGTTCGCCGCTTTATTTTAGATCCCCTTAAACTGTTTTCGCCCGTTTCCGGTCTGGCGCATTGTCACGGCTCGCACGGTACTCACTCGAACACCTTTTCCGCGTCATTAGGGGAAAATTAGCGGCGCTCGCCGAAAATAGGTTTCGAAACACCGCGGTGTTTATCAGGGAAATAAACGGCCATTTTTCCGCGAACGATGTTGCGGTTTTCGCGCGGGGCGAAATTAACTGACGGCTGGGAAACCATTAGGGGAGGCGCATACGTTCAGGATGAAAGAAGCGTCGCGGTTTAGGTTGGAGACGAAAGACGGCTTTGCTGAAGTTTAATGCAATTGTTCTCGATGGAAGTAGCGTCAACTGTTATGCTTGGATAGGTGATTTACCTTTTTTTTTTTTTTTTTTTAATGAAAAGGTATAAAAAAGCACCGTGGTTTAGGTTGGAGATGAGAGTCGGTTTTGTTGAAGTTAAATGCGATTGTTCTCAGGAAATTTAGTAGCAATATTATGCTTGGACAGGTGATCCAGTTCTTTTTTTTTATTATTGCTAATTGTCGCAAGTTTCGAGTGTCTTGAATGTTTGAGTATTTTTAATTGGATCGCGATCAGTGGCTGCGATACTCTATCAAATCCAAGTGGCAGACAGATATCCTGTAGCGGATTGCTACAAACTCATGTTTCCAGTGGAGTACAGATTAATTGTAGCAATCCTCTGTTGACTTCAGGTGACTGACAGTCACCCTGCAGTTGACTGTTAGAAATATACGCTTCTAGTGGAATACGAATTAATTATCGTAATCCTCTGCTGACTCCAGGTGACTGACGTCCCGCAGCCCTGCTAGAAATTCATGTTTTTAACGAAACGTGAATTTAAACTTGCAACCCTTAGAGGCTTCAGGTGGCAGATAATTATCCTGATGTAAATTGCGTCGATTTTGCAGTTTTGTTATAATAGCGGCAGTCATCCTGTGACTTTGGAATAATGATTGCAATATTGATCACAATCGTATGTCGTAGTTGCAATCCTTTGGGTCGTGTTCGTGTGATTGATTTTTAAATAAATTCTAACGATCTGGTGTTTTTAATTAATCAGAAACGAGTCGTAGCACCCTGTCCCCAGGAAAGTTACCAACCTTCCCCAAGTTGACTGTTTGAAATTTGTCCACAGGTGGTGGACAATCATTTTGAAGCAAATTCTAACCATCTGGTATTTTTCATTAATCAGAAACGAGTCGTATCTATCCCCAGGCCAAGTAGTTGCCAACCTTCTTCAACGTGAACGTTTATTTGGAAATTTTTCCACCTATTTTTCCTGGACCTACCCCAGCGATACTTGTTCACCACAACGGAACAGAACCACTTCCAACAGAAAAAAAGAAAACCATCTCTCAAGGCCTTCCGATTTTCTAAATAAAAATCGTTGAACCCTTCGTCTCCGGATCGGAGTAACGTGTCGAACTGTTCGGGGACAGGACGGCGTCATCCATCATCGAATCTCGTCCCGGCGTTCGCCAGTGGCGTAGCTTTCGCGGAATCGCTTCACCTTCGGTGAAGTCGCGTGACAGCGCGATCGAACCACGTTTTGGCGAACGACGCCGTTACGTAACCGTCGAAAAAGGCGGCGACGCTTCCCTCCTCCTGTTCGCCAATCGTCGCCGTGTCCCCCGAGTTGGCAACGACCGCCCCTCCTCACTGTCCCCCTCTCAACCTCCACCGACTCGTTGGACGAAATTGTAGCCCCGGGCCAGATTCGCACTTGCCGATGTCATCATCGACGCTTTGTTCGTCGACTGATCTGCTTTATCGCGCCTATGAAAACATTCTTGCGTTAAATGACGCGTCAAATCCGCGTCGAGCTGCTCCATTAACACGGCCGAACTTCCATACCCGCCCCCCCCCGGCCCACTAGGGACTTGAATCTCACCCTTTAGCGAAAAATCTCGAAAGAAACTTTGGAACTTTCGATTTATCATCCGACGTTCACTGGAGCGTTTCTTTTACCCTAAGTAGTTATATTTTTTGACGTGCCGAGGGTGGGAATATTCTGGATCGGGATATTTCGATTAGGGGATGTTGGTTGCTATGGTAATAGTGACTCAAAGTTGCTCTGTTCGAGGGACAGGGTTCAGTTTTTCTTCAAAACTTTCTT